TTTCATTGATTCTACTATAAATACCTGAAAACAGTTTTTTAGCCCACTTATGATTACCCCCATTCTTCTCTCCAATCAATATTTGTTGAGGATCATCGGTGGGACTATAACAACAAACAAACAAAAGTGTATGTCCTCATAGAACTGACATTCTAATTGGGGAGGATCATTAATCATTAAAAAATATATAGTGAGTGTTTCTCTGGTGGCACAGGGGTTAAAGACAGCGCTATCAAGTTACCGCCAGCCACTGCAGCATGAGTTCGATCCCCAGCCTGCCCAGGAGCAACCCACATGGCGCAGCAGACCTCTCCTGCCTCTACCCCTGCTTCCCTCAGCAGGGTGTTTCAGTAGATTTGCCTGTTCTGTTCCTCACTCTCTCTGGTGAATACACACACACACACACACACACACCCGCACCTCTGGCCTAAACCCCAGTTCTTGTATGCATGAATAAATCTTAAAAAAAAACCATTTTTATGTATTTATATATGTGTGTATATATATATATAATAAGTGCTATAAAAAATAAGAGAGGGATAGGGGTTATTTGAGGGTAAGGGTGGTTGAACTACAGTTTTAGATAGGGTGATCAGGAAAGACCTTTCTGAGATAGTGGCATTTCTATATAGATTTAAAGGAATAAAGGAGTGAGCCATGCAGACAGATACCTGGGGATCAATAAGAGTAAAGACTTCTAAAGTGGTGTATGCTAGTGTGTTCAAGGAACAAGGAGGCCATATGGCAGGACTTCAGTGAACCACATTAGTCAGATGGTACTAGCTGCAGATTTTTAGGGTGTGGTGAACCACTGTAAGAACTTTTGCTTTTCTCTAAGTGAGCAGCCATTAGGTTTTGAGCAGAGGAATGATTTCTAATTTAATGGGGATTATTCTGTTGGATCTGTGGGAATAGATTGAAGAGTAGCAAAGGCAGGCGCAAGATGCCAGTTGGGAGACTTGGAACATTCAGTTATGTTCCTTCCTCCATCCATCCATCTGTATACATTTACTTTTCTCGCAAAAGATAAGCAACTGATTTTTTTAGGAATGTTCTAAAGCAGGTAAAGAAAACTGTAATAAACTAGTAGTGAATTTCTTCATTAAGTAATTATATGTGGAGAATTAATCCATCAGCAATAAGACAGTGTCTTTATTTTTCTGGTGATAGTGTGTTTGTTTTGCTTTTTCTGTCCTAGTCGTTTTCTTGATCATGACACAAATGTTTAACTTGTCTCTGATGAAAGAAAATACATGTATTGATCCAGATCAAGATAAATGAATGTATTGTAATTGGAATTTCCTCAAACTGACCTCACTGTTTGTAGAAATTTTTTTTTAAAGATTTATTTATTTATGCATACAGGAGCTGGGATACAGGCCAGAGGTGGAGAGGGGTGAAAGGATTCACCAGAGACAGTGGGAAACAGAATAGGCAGATTGACTGAAATACGCTGCTGAGGGGAGCAGCGGGTGAGTCAGGAGAGGCCTACTGTGCCATGTGGGTCACCTCCCTGGCCAGGGATTGAACTTGTGCTGTGGTGGTTGAGATAGCATCATAGTGCTGAAGCTTAACCCCTTGTGCCACCAGGGAGGCCCCTGGTTGTAGAAATTAAACATCAGTTATAAATTGTTTGCTTTGACTTTCTCCCTTCATAAAAACACTATGAAATTGTGGGATTTTCTCTAAATAAAAAAGAAAATATATCTGGAGAGTCTGTGTACATCTTATGTTCTTATGTACACTAAATTATAATACGGTATTTTATCAAATGTAAGGTGCAGTTGAAGTAATACAAAAAATAATTGCCTGTTGAACTTTGCCTGTTGAACATTGTCATTAGTTGAAAGACATCCCTGTTTCAGATATATGAGAACGAAAAATATGCATCTAGAATTGATGAACTAGAATAGTACATTAGCTTTCAGTGAAATTTTTGTGTTATGTCAGGGATGATAATATTGTATTGGCTAACTTTCTTATCATACATCTTAGTTGTTAAAAACAGAACTTAAAAAAACAGTGTATCCAATAAAAAATCCTTTATTTCTGCTTTTCTCCATAGACTTAGGAAATGGGAAAGAACTATTTGAGTTTTTTTGTAAAGATTTATTTATTTATGCATACAAGAGCTGGGGTACAGGCCAGAGGTGTGGAGGGGTGAGAGGATTCACCAGAGACAGAGTGGGGAACAGAACAGGCAGACTGACCAAAGTACACTGCTGAGGGGAGCAGTGGGGCAAGTTAGGAGAGGTCTGCTGGGCCATGTGGGTTGCTCCCTGGCTGGTCAGGAATCGAACTCAATGCTGCAGTGGCTGCAGATAGCTTCATAGGTTGTGTCTTAACCCTTGCGCTACCAGGGAAGCCTCTTGAGATTTAAATTGTATATAGGAACTGACTGTAGTGAAGTGCAATATCAATATGAACACTTTAGCTGGTATTTTCAACTTACTATGAAATATAAATTAAAAAATTCAGAATTTCACTGTCAGAATTCTGTTGTGACCTTATTTGTGATTCATGCACATTTTTCTGAGATCAATTCTAGAGCTCAGTTATTAAAGGAATGAAAAGGACAAATGATAGGTTTCATTAAAGCTGTTAAGGCAAAAAAGAAAAGTTGTTACCGCAATATGTGAGTGGATCATATGCTTTCATAAGCATGCAGGAGAAAATTTACAGACGAGTCAGAAAATAAGGAAGTAGAGACCTAAAAGTAAAGTTGTTAAAAGGAATGAGGGAACCTGTAGGGATGATGGAAATGTTCCATATCGTCATTATGGTGCTGATTACATGAGTGTTTCCTGTATGTTTGTTAAAATGCTTCAAATTATATACTTAAAATATGGATATCATTTTATGTAAACTATACTTTAAAAAATGCAATCTAGGACCCAAAGTGGTAAATATAAATTATAGGATTTTTTTTTAAAGATTTATTTATGCATACAAGAACTGGGGTACAGGCCAGAGGTACAGGTGTGAGAGGATTCACCAGAGACAGAGTGGGGAGCAGAACAGGCGAATCCACTGAAACACACTGCTGAGGGGAGCAGCAGGTGAGACAGGAGAGGTCTGCTGCACCATGTAGGTTATCTCCCTGGCTGGGGATCGAACTTGTGCTGCAGTGGCTGTGGATAGCTGTGCTGTGACTTAACCCCTTGTGCCATCAGGGAGGCCCCCATACTACAACTTTTAAGACTATTTCCCTGAGGAATCTGTTTTGGATAGGTCTGTGGTCTGGCCTACGATTCTGTATTTTTAACAAGCAAGCAGGGTGAGTCTTATAATTTATATTTGGGAAATGCTAAACTAGGCAATGAAAACAAAAATCGGAGAAATGCTAAGATTATTCCCGAAAAGTATGATAAATTTATTAGTCTCCTTTGCTGCTATAACAAATTACCACAAACTTTGTGGTTTAATACAACAAATATTTATTCTCTCGTAGTTCCGTAGGCCAGAAGTCCAAAATCATTATCACTAAAATGAAGTCAAGGTGTGGGCAGGGCCACACTCCCTCTGAGGTTCTAGCGACGACAGTTATTTATCTCTTCCAGCTTCTGGTGACTGCCCAAAGTGCTTGGTTTGTGCCTCTATAACTCTAATCTATGCTTTTGTAGTGCCTTTGCCATCTCTCTCCTTTGTGTTAAATCTCCTTCTGCTTCCTCTTCTGAGGGTACATGTAATTGCATTCAAGGGTCACGTGGATAATCCAGGATAATCTCCCCATTTTAACGACTTTAATGACACCTGCAAAATCTTTTTTTGCCAGGTAGAGTAATATCCATAGGTTCCAGGGATTTGAATGTAAGTAAAGAGAAAAAAGGAAACATGTTTTAAACTAGAATTAAAGTAAGGGACTGGAAGAGGTATGGACAAACTTGATAAGCTAAATAGAAACAAGAAAATCAAAGAACGAAATAGACTGTTGTTTACAGTATTAGAGGCATAGAGTTATTTGAAAAATGAAAAAGAAAACTTGTTATAATTTCATTTCTTTTTATCAGACAATGGAGTACATGTAGTATTGAGTACAATAATGAATTTTTAGACATTTTACATGTTTAAAACTATGTAAGTTTATAGTATAAAGTTTAGAAAATTTGATTAGTTGAAAATAACATAAGCTTATTCAAGTTAACAATAAAATTGTCGTTAAAACCCATTATAGGGCCTCCCCGGTGGCACAGCTGGTTGAGCGCAGCACTGTGAAGCTGTCCGCAGCCTTTGCAGTGCGGGTTCGATTCCTGGCTGGCCAAGGAGATACCTACATGGCACAGCAGACCTCTCCTGTCTCGCCTGCTACTCCCCTCAGCAGTGTTTCCAGTCTGTCTGCGTGTTCTGCCCCCCCACCCCGCCTGGCCCCGCCCCCCGCCATCTCTAGTGAATTCTCTCACCCTCCCGTGCCTCTGGCCTGTACCCCAGTTCTTGTATAAGTAAATAAATCTTTTTAAATAAAACACATCATAGATAGTAGCACCCAGTTTAAACTCTTTAATTTCTTCTGTGAATCTGAAGTTGGAATTTATGCAATGTTATTTACTTTTTTAAAAACATATCTACTCATTCTATAACCAGTAGTACAAAATGAAATAGTATGTTACTTTTTTCCATTATTAATAAAGTTAATCCCATTTGATGAGAAACTTCACACAAAATTAAAAAACTCATCTTCTGATCACAGGATCAGTTATCCTTGCACCACCAGGGAGGCCCTTGGTTTAATTTTTTAGGTAAGACTGCAATGGATCATGGTTAGCACATTAACTCATATAAAGCAAAGTATATAATTGAATAATGTATAGTAAAATTGGTTGAGATAATAACATACATAGCAAAGCACTTGCCCCAAGATACGTAAGTTAAATAAACTTGAGTACTTTTTTTAGATTTAAGATTTAGTTTTGTTTTTTGTGTTGTCTGAATGAAAGACATTGAAGAATGAAATTATATAAAAAGCACACAAATTTTGTTAAGGCATTATTTTCTTTTTCTAGCTTAAAGCAATTAATGTAGATCTTCAAAGTGATGCTGCTCTACAGGTGGACATTTCTGATGCTCTTAGTGAGAGAGATAAAGTAAAATTCACTGTTCACACAAAGGTAAATGATTCTGTACTTGTATTATTTTAGCTATTTATTATGCTAATGTTACTTATGTAGTATGTTTACTGGAACTTTGGTTTTGAACTTAGAAACTACTATAGTGTAATAATTTGTTGCTGTTTGAACAAAAAAGTTTTAAGGAAATGTACTTTTTATGCTTTTTAAAATTAACATTTAAAATTTAATGACAAAACCTAGACATAATGCAAATTTAATTTTCTCAAGACTTTTAAAAATATCTCTTACCATGCTTGTTATTTTAATTTTGTCGTGTTCTTTCAATTAATCATTTACTACTTAAAGAGTGTCCTATTTTCAGATTTCAGTTCTCATGCACATTTTCAGATTGCAGGTCTATTTTCCTTTGTTTGAATAGTTGAGTTTTATATATATTAAAAGGATAACATCTAATTAACAGTAGCAGTACAATATAGGAAGAGGCTGTTAATTTATTTTCTCCAGGTTCCCAGGATAATTTTTAAATATATCAGGATTTTCATAGTGAAGTTTAAAACTGAAAATCTTTCATATATTTTATAAAATATTTATTAAAAACTTTCAAGTGTAATTTGATTTTTATTCTAGAAAATCTCTATCTTTGCAGAGTTCATTGCCAAATTTTAAACAAAATGAGTTTTCTGTTGTTCGACAACATGAGGAATTTATCTGGCTGCACGATTCCTTTGTTGAAAATGAAGACTATGCAGGTTATATCGTAAGTGTTGAGGTTCCATTTTAATCCTGTTTTCTGGGAGCTTTTTAGATATTTTATTATGTGTTGAAATGTTGTTTAGCATATTTAATGAACTGATACAATTTTTTCAATTGCCAATTAAAAAACAAAATTGCTGCCACCTTTTGTCTTGAGTTGTTTGGGAGTATGGGGGTATATTATATGCTTCCTCCTTTAAACTTAAATTTTTCTGTTCATTAGAATTGAAATGGATGGCTTGTCCTAGGGATTAATAAAGGACACATTACAAGCCATACTGGTTTTAAATTCTTAAGTAGACAGGTATTTAGGGTTGGAAGACTTCATAAGAGGTTATCCAATCCTAAGTATGCACCAGATGTTGTGACTCAGCAGTTGACCATACTCAAGATTTCTGAAATCATCCTGACCTCATTCATTTGCTTCTTTTTCTTTCTGTAACTCAGAGTTCAATAGACAGCGACAGTGCATTTTTGTTTTTGTTTTTTTTTTACCATTACCAGTTTATATAAAGAATACAGTTCAGGAATAGCCATATGTAAGAAATGCATAAGACAAGGTATGGAGGAGTGGAAGTGGTGCAGAGCTTTCATGACCTTGCCTGGTACAACACTTTCCACCCTGCAAACATTTAATGTGTTCATCAACCCTGAATTTCCTCCTTTTCTTCCCATCCAGTTTCCATCCCCCCCACACCTCCCAATCTTCTTATATAATAGCACTTTCTAACTACTTTCTCCTACCATAAGCTGAATGTTCCTCAGAGACCAAGATCATGTCCTATTTATTTTTATATGTTTATTGCTCAACATCATGTCTGTATAAGTATCAGTGTGTACTAAACTATGCCTGATGTTTTAACTTTTACCCTTACTTAACTTTTCTTCCTCTTACTTGCTCTCTTCCATCATTTCCTTTTAGCCATTCTTTCTTGTAGACACTTCCTTCCAAGATAAATTTTTTTAGCATTCACAGATTTAAAAAGAAAAACACAATACCATAAAGAATAGTTACTATGAATTCATGCACTTAAAACAAACATACATTTATATTTAATCTTAACACGTACTTTTGAAAAATGGTATGCTTATTTGGTATACATAATCATTTAGTATATGGTTGAAGTTTAATGCACCTACACGTTAACCCAAGACTCTGGGTTGCCACGTAGGAATTTCTCTCTTAGAGTTTGGGAACTACTGTTTTAATACTGGAAAATCGTGTTCTGCTATATTTTTTCGTTGATGTAAAGGACCTAACGGATCTTAACTTCTAGACCTAATCAAGTTCTCTGTCCTGAATTGGGATATTCCTGAAGCCTAGTTAATTCAAGATGTTTTTAGTCTTTCACAGTAGCAGTAGTACAACAGCTACAAGAACTGAAATCTATAAATTAGTGATTTGGCTCTCTTATAGATCCCACCAGCACCACCAAGACCTGACTTTGATGCTTCAAGGGAAAAACTACAGAAGCTTGGAGAAGGAGAAGGGTCCATGACAAAGGAAGAATTCACAAAGATGAAACAGGAACTGGAAGCGTATGTGTTTTTTGTAGTTGTTCTTTCTTTTATTAATTGTGCTTGTTTCAGTGCCCTTTTTGTGCTCTCTGATATCCCATCTCTTTATAATCATTTTCACCGTAGTGACACTGTTGGATGAGACAGGTTTAAGCCACACAACCAGTATTAACGATCATGATCAGAGCCCACAGGAAAATTATAGAATAATTATATACATTGAAAAATTCTTTAAGTTAATGTTTTATATATTCTTAAAATTGAAAATGGAGGATTCAAAAGTTTATTTAACAAAAAAGCCGAAAGGAAAATAATGATTTTTTAAAGTGACATGTAAATTGTTTTTTATTTATAAGGCCTTAGTCATTCCCAACCTAGATCTCTTCTGTTGACATGTGTGTAATACCAGAAACTTCTATTTCTCATAGAAGTATGTGATGAGCAACTCTTTGCATATATTCTGTTTTCTTTTAAAAGAAATGTGTGAAGAGGTTGTATGCATTATTTACACGCTCCCTTTTTCTCTGCCTATGGCCTCTGGCTGCAGGGAATAGAATAGGAGCAAAGTAAAGAGAAAATAGCTTTTAAATGCTTTTCATTAAATGATTATTTAATATAGTTTCATATATATATATTGGAAATGAATAAATCCTTAAACTATATTTGAATTTTAGTATATTTGCTGAAAATACAGAATCTTTCCCCTTTTATTAAACATTTGAAATTGAGATTTGCTGTATATTGATTCTCTGTATTTTGAAAGTTATCAAGGAAAGAATTTTCCTTGCGTTATCATCACCTCCATTACTCTTTTTCTGGTCATTTCTCCCCTTCATGTATTTCTTTTTCTTGTTTTCCACTTAGTTTCATTTTTTAAGCATATATTCACTCTGCTACTAGACTCCTTTTCAGAATGCTGAACTCTCTTGACAAGATAAATGAGCAAGTAGATTTTCTTTGTCTACATGAAAGATGACAGATACCTTAAGAATTCTGTCAATGCTGGTACAGCAGTAGTCTGATAGCTGATACATGTATACGTTTACAGTTTCTAAGACTGAAACCAGAAATTAGCAGAGCACATTAGTATTGAAGAATCTGTGATTTTCCAGTGGCCCTGATCATGATTCTTTTGTGGTCTGGTTAGGGGTTGGATAACAGAGAACCTTGGGTTTATTCTACTGCTACCTCCATCCTCTGCATCCTTCTTTTTTGTCTTCACTGAATGACTACTCTCACAGAGATCAAACTTCTCCCAACATTGGTCCTGCTGGTTTGCTGGTATGTAAAACTTATCCTCCTTGCACGTAGTTGAAGCAAGAATATTGGGCCTTTCCTTGAGTGTTTCCCCTGCCCAAACTGACATTTATTATTGTATGAGCTCTATAATTCACTGATGAAATTAAATACTTTAAACATAATTCTTAAATATAATGGCAAAATTGTCTCTTCATGGCGTGTTTCTTGTGTGGTTGGGTCATTAGATGAAAATAATTATTAATGTTGAAAATAATGTTTATTGAGGTTTGGGTTTTGATTCTTTTTGTATAAAGATGTTTAAAAGTAGTGGTTATATAAAAATAGAATCTTTAAGATTATACCAAATAATTTGCAGTATACTTTCTCTGGAAATGAAAACAAATGCCCCTATAGATGTTACCTTTAATAGCATCGATTTGCACAGGAAGAAAGGTTCATTAAACCTAAAAATATTAACATTTAAATATAATAAAATGTATTAACTAGCATGAAGTCTTTGAGAGCTGGATTTTATATATTTCATTAACAGTTCAACTAAAACCTTTGTTTACGTGTATCTAATTTTGCATTTGGAATAATTCAGAGTATTTGTGGAAAAAATTTTTGCACATAATTTTCTAGTTGATGCAGTTTTTTAATTTTGTGTATTGTTTCTAGTGAATATTTGGCAATATTCAAGAAGACTGTTGCAATGCATGAAGTGTTCCTGTGTCGTGTGGCAGCACATCCTATTTTGAGAAAAGACTTAAATTTCCATGTCTTCTTGGAATATAATCAAGATGTGAGTATTGAATAGTCCAAGCAGTGATCAAGGTTCCCCCCCCCCAGTTTTTTTCCCCACCAAAGGTTTATTTATTTATTTTATACAAGAACTGGGCTACAGGCCAGGTGCGCGGGAGGGCGAGAGTATTCATCAGAGACAGAGCGGGGAACAAAACAGGCAGACTGACGAAATACCCTGCTGAGGGGAGCAGCGGGCGCGACAGCAGAGGTCTGCTGCCCCATATGGGACCCTCGCTGGCCGGCCGGGATCGATCCAGCGCTGCAAAGGCTGTGGACAGCTTCACAGCGCTGCGCTCAACCGCCTGTGCCACCAGGGGAGGCCCGATCAAGGTTTATTTTTAAGGGAGTCATTGGAAAAGGCAAAGTGTAGTTAGAAAAGTGTTATTTATTTTTATTTTTAAATAAGTCTTTAAAAATAAAAAAAAAACACGATAGAATATTTTTTAAAGGTCTTTTATTGTTTATTTTAAGATATTTATTTATGCATTGAAGAACTGGGGTGTAGGGCAGAGGTACAGAGGGTGAGAGGATTCACCAGAGACAGAATAGGGAGTAGGGAGCAGAACAGGGAATAACTGAAATACACTGCTGAGGGGAACAGCGGGTGAGACAGGAGAGGTCTGCTGTGCCCTGTGGGTTAGCTCCCTGGCCGGGGATCAAAGTCATGCAGCAGTGGCTGGCAATAGCTTGATAGTGCTGAGACTTCAACCCCTGTATCACCAGGGATGCCCCTTTTAGTCATTCTTTTGTGTTACTTGTACTGTAAGTTACCTCTAAAACAGGACAAGAGATGACACTTGGGTAAGTTCAGAGTGAAGAATTTGCAGATTATATTTTCAAGGGTATTACAGTATTATTTGATGGTATATTGTCTCTAATAAATTTCATGTTTCAGTGAACTCCAGAATAAACATTTAGTTGCCTTTATATTATATAGTGATTTTTGACAGTATGGTAAGAGGGCTACTTTGTAACAGAATTATCACATATGATTGTAAAATTTGAGATGTCTCGATCTTATTGTAGATCAGCTAAATCTGAATCTTTTAGAGTAAGATAAAATTCTTCCGAAAGTCACTGATAAGTATTATGAAATTGCCAGGTTAAAAAATGGGATCATTTGAGTTTGTCATTTTGTTGTCAGAGAATAAATAATGGAGGCACTGTTCTCCATTTGTAATTTTTTTTTTTTTTTTTAGAAAGCTAACTTAAATTTACCTTTCAGTTGAGTGTACGGGGGAAAAATAAAAAAGAAAAACTTGAAGATTTCTTTAAAAATATGGTTAAATCAGCCGATGGTGTAATTGTTTCAGGAGTAAAGGTAAGATTTTATTTAATTATTGGTTTGAGATTTTACTTCTTTTAAAAGGAAGATAGATTGAGATTTCAGATGTGCAGATTATATTGGAGTAAAAGAGAAGTTTGTACAGTAGAATTCTTAGGCTTGGAAAACCAGGCTTCTTGCCATGGGGTGAGAGGTCTGCAGGGTACTTACCCCATACCCTTTGCCTCCAAGCCAGACCATGCTTCAGTTATCTAGAATCCCATACTTTCCTGCTGAAATCCCAAACCTTCTTCCAGGTCTTGTGTGACTTTCTTTGCTAAGCTTATCCTCTAGAGGGTAGGCTGTGTCACTGGTATGGGTACTTCTTGGGTGGTCACAGGGTGACCCCTGGGCAACCAGGTATAGGGAAGGCATAGGGGGAGGTCATTGTGCAAGACGGAATATCCTACCTATGCATATAAGGTCTCTCTGAATTCCTCAAAGAGCTGCACAGTGGGGCAGTAAAACGGACTGCCTCCATTTATATGAAGTTAAGTATTTCCCTAAAGATGTTCTAGGAAGGGTATAGGAATTGATTTATCTGAAGACTCTTACCATTCAAAAATATATTTTAAAAAAGTTAAACATTATTGATCAAAAGCTAAGAAAGAAATAATGCTGCTTTGTCATCACTGCCTTCTTTTAGAGATATGTCTACAACAAAACTTATGTGTGAAGCGCTATTTATTTGATTTTTTGAAGACAGTCAACTGATAACTTGTCAGTTATGTGTTGTGACTGCTTTTTATTAAGGGCTCAGCTTACCTCCATTTTGATGTTCTCCACATTAAGTGTAAACAACTGTCTTGATTATTATTTTTATAATAATATATAATATATAATGACAATCAGTAATGTTAATATATAATAATTGGTAAAGTAATAACTCTAAAATACTGTTTTTGAACATTTATAGTATTGACAGCACATTTTCTTAATTATGACTACAACCTGAAAGTTTTTCCCCCATTTTTACATTTAAGAAAACTCTACAGACTTTAAATACATTTTGTCAATACTAATGTGCTTCTTGCATTTTATTGATATAGGTTTCAAAAATGTCAGGTGAAACTTCTAAAGGGGAGAAAGTACTATTAGTAATTTTTATTTTTAATGTGTATCTACCTTTGCTCCAGAAAAAGATTGTAGGCATTGGCTAATATGGCAGTTGGTCCCATAAAGCTAGTTTCACCAAATTCCCCAAAGCAGTCAAAGAGAGCCCTAATGACTAAGGCCTGGCAGACTTCAGGAATGGCCTATAGACTATGTAGTAGACCAAGAAAAATTGATCAGTCTCCTTCGCATAATGTATTTGTTGAAGAGGCAGAACCTAAGGTAAGAATATGTTTTAGAGTTCAACGTAAGAGCATATGGAGTGCTCTGAGCCTTCAGCTACAAAACCATAGAAGACTTCTTGATGGATAGAAAGGCATGCCTATTAAAGTCTGACCTTAGTGAAATCAGTGTAATAACTTCTTATAGAGGATAGCTGTGCTGTTTTACTGATGATCTTTCATTATAATAATAAAGTAAATTACAATTAGACTAGAGCAAATAAATGTAAAAAGTTCATACTTTCTTTTGATCCCATAGGATGTAGATGATTTCTTTGAGCATGAGCGAACATTCCTTTTAGAATATCATAACCGAGTCAAGGATGCATCTGCTAAATCTGATAGGATGACAAGATCCCACAAAAGTAAGGTTTTTCTCTGGCTAATACTTACACTTTGAAAAAGGAATAATTACAAAGTTACGTTATTTATAGTTTGTAAAAGTCTTGATATAGAACGGAGGTTCTCAAACTGTGGTCCATGAAAACTTGGCTCCAATTCCTTTTAGTAAGTCTGTTATATCAAACTATTTTCATACAGAAGGGATAGTGTGATAGTGTAATGGCACTGGAGCTTTGGGGGTGGGTGAGCTTGCTTCCCAATACTTAAAGACTTGTCTGAGGAGATTGCTGATAATATTAGTGAATGTAGTTTTTGTGATACTGCTTACTGAATTATGTCCACATTTAGAAGAGCTGCATAATTCATTGAACCAATATTTTCTATATGATCAAATGCATGATAATACAGAATCATCATGAATGTAGAAGATCCTTCAAACTGCAAGTTAAATAGATACTATAAACCACTTTATTGAGGTATAATTAATAGTAATAAACTACAATGTTCAAAGTATACAGTTTGATAAGTTTAGACAAAATCTCTGAAATGATCAATATAGTCAAGATAATGATGTATTCGCACCCCAAAATTTCCTTATGGCCCTTGTGATTCCCCCCCCATCCACCACTTTCATTGGCTTTCTTTCTTTCTAGGTTAGTTTTCAATTTCTAGAATTTTATATAGATGGAAACATATAGTATATATTCTTTATCATCTGGCTTTGAGACTCAAAAAAATTATTTTGAAGTTTATCAGCGTTATTGTATATATCAGTTAATTCCTTTTTGTTACTGAGTGGTATTAATTGTATGGTGAACATTTGGGTGTTTATTAACAATAAATAATAGAGTTACCAAATTTTAGTCTTTTCGGTTGATTCTAAAGATTACTGTCTTGTTAGGGAGTGAACACATTTAAAAAGCCTTGTACAATGACTGTTAGTATAAATAGGAATATCCATAATAGGCATGTCTTAGATCTCATTAATAGTAGCAAATATTTATGTAGCACTGTGCTTACTGTTTACCAGATATGTGGTAACATTTACTAACTCATTTTATCATCCAAATAATTATGTGAGGTAGGTATCATGATTATCCCAGGTTAAGTGATATGCCCAGTCATATAGTTGAGAAGCTAGAATTCATCCCCAGGCAGGTTTCTGCACTTAACAAGTGTGCTATACTATCCTTATTCTGAACGAACTAAAAGCATCCATTATAATCCTTTCTCAGTAAGTCCATTGTTCTGTGGTGTGAACTTTAGGAAGAATATTGTATTAAAGTTGAGTATTTTCCTTCCTGATATCCAAGGGTAATGGTGTAACCATTCATGTAGCTTTTTTTTTTTTAAAGATTTTTTTTTTTTTATGCATACAAGATCTGGGGTGTAGACCGGAGGTGTGGGGGGAGGTGAGAGGATTTACCAGACACAGTGTGTAGAGCAGAACAGGTGAGTTAACTGAAATACACTGCTGAGGGGAGCAGCGGGTGAGACAAGAGAGTTCTGCTGTGCCATGTGGGTAGATCCCTGGCCGGGATTGAACTTGTGCTGCAGTGGCTGTGAACAGCTTCACAGTGCTGCGCTTAACCCCTTGCGCCACCAAGGAGGCCCATTCATGTAGCTTTTGAAGCTCCACAGTTCCATTCCTGCCCTAGGTCTTCTCTTTCTAATTCCTACCTATTATACTTCCTAAATAATCTTCAGGTTTGTTAGATTGTCTCTGCACTCATTGTTCCCGCTATCTTGATCCTGACCCCCAGTTTCTGACACAACAGTTACCTAGTTGGTCACCCTGTCTTCTTTGTTTCTCTACTTCTGGTCTAGGTAACAGGGTTTTTAATCTAAAATCTTTATCAGGTTGATTTTACCATCGTTATGATTTTAAAGTGTTTAATAACACTCATTTCCACTTGCTCAGATCCAAGCTTTATCTTGATTTACAAAGAGAATTTTTTTTAAAAAAATTTATGCATACACGAACAGGGCTGCAGGCCAGAGGTGCGGGGGTTTGGTGAAAGGACTCACCAGAGACAGTAGGGAGCAGAACAGGTAGATTTTTTTTTTTTTAAGATTTATTTATTCATGCATACAAGAACCCGGGTACAGGCCAGAGGCGTGGGAGGGTGAGAAGATTCATCAGAGACAGAGCGGTGAACAGAACAAGCAGACTGACTGAAATACACTGCTGAGGGGAGCAGTGGGTGAGACAGGAGAGGTCTGCCACACCAGGTGGAATTCTCGCCGGCCAGCCGGGATCGAACCCGTCCTGCAAAGGCTGCGGACAGCTTCACAGCCCTATGCTCAACCGCCTTCGTCACGAGGGGAGGCCCCAGAACAGGTAGATCTACTGAAATACACTGCTGAGGGGAGCAGCAAGTGAAGACAGGAAAGGTCTGCTGCTCCATTTGGGTTAGCTGCCTGGATGAAGATTGAACTCGAGCTGCAATGGCAACAATAGCTTGATAGTGATGAGACTTAACCCCTTGCGCCACCAGGGAGGCCCTACAAAGACATTTTTTTCCAAAAGATGCTTCCAATTTATTTTTCCATCTTTCAGCTCCATCCTCTTACTGCTGCACTGTGCAGTGCCACAGTCCCATGAGACTCTGAAAACACTGTGCTCTTTTATGTCTGCCTGGTAAATACTCATTTCACAAGCTCCTGTTCATTCTGAGGTGTTTGTAAGTCCTTCCCAGAATTAACTGGGTAGAGTAATCTGTTTCTTCTGTTCCCAAAGTAGTTTGTACCTACTTTGATATAGTAGTGGTCATATTGTAGTATAGTTTTTTGTGTCATTTCCTTCACTGTAGACTTGGGGTGTCATTATATATACACATTACTTGACAGGTTCCCATAAGTATTTTTGAATCAATGAATAAAGTATTAAATCCTTAAAACTTTTTCCATAGGTGCTGCAGACGATTACAATAGAATTGGTTCTTCATTATATACTTTAGGAACTCAGGATTCTACAGATATATGCAAGTAAGGATTCTGACTTAAAGTTAAATGTAGCAACTCTCTGCCTGCATGTGTCTATGCAGGCATCTCTCTCTTTCCTTTCTTTGTCTTTCCTTGCCCTGTTAAAAAATAAATAAAAAACTTAAGATACAAATAAAATTTGTTGGTGACCTGGGCACATGCCAGTACTTATGACCCACTAGCCATTTTGGGATATTTTTGTCAAAACACTTTGATAATAAGGAACTTCTTTATAAACTTATGCCAGTGTCATTTTTTTCGCCCACCTTTCTTTCAGATCACAGAAATAAAAATGGACTCTCATAATTTTAACATTTACAAAGTTTTATTTAATGAAAATGTGCTGGTTTGTATGTTGGGCAGGAGGAAAGACAATTTATGTCAAAATGTTTTTAGGTTTTAACAAAGCTTATTATAGATGCGATGCTATTTTACAATTAGTATATATGTGTGCATAGGCATTTCATTAAAGGCTAGATTGACTTACAGTAAAATTTTATACTTTTATCCACTGGAACTTTTAAAAGAGGCCTGCTACTCTAGTTTTTGTTGCTTAGTGAATCTTACAGTTTAGCAATCTTAGGGTGACTGGATGGGAAAAGTATGCATGTTCATGTAGAAAAACTCTTTTGAAAGTTTGTTTACACTGCTGTCTTTTATTTACTTTATCCTAGTTTTCCACTTTAATGATAGTGAATCTTAGTTGCTCCTGTAATATTGTTTAAATATAGTTGTTCATTGAAAAGTAATTCAAACATGTTTTTAAAAACATTTTAAGTGAGAAAACTAAAATGTCCATAGTTTTCTCCAAATCACATCCTTGATTTTTTTTTTTCCTAGTATATCCAGTTTCAGTAAAAACCTCCAACTTTTTCCACAAAGCGAGATACCATAGTTTATACTAATCAACATGGCTACCTTCCCAGAGTAAGCTCTTAAATCTTTGGTAAAATAAAAGTCAGTCTTGCCATGTGTTGTGTGACACAAACCTGTTAAAGCAAGTTCTCTTCAGTGAAGCCAAGTTCACAGAATCATGTTTTTGCTCTCAATAATTTTTGTCCTAAGCCAAATAAAATGTCATCTGTTATGACATATTTTACAAACTTGAGTAGTTTGGCATTGGGATTTTTTACTTGGTGGCAATGTTTGAGAGATAGTTAAAAGTAGAAGTGAATTTTGAGATAAAAAGTAGTTATTTCTCTTTTTTCTCAAAATCAAGCAACTCTAATTTGTAAATGTTTAAAATAGAACTGTGAGATAACAGAGTTTAGCTCTGAGATAACTGATTAACAACTGTTCCTAATGTCAGTGCTATCCTTTTAAGTCAGCCTTTCGTGTCTTTGGATGTGAATGTTAAATACTTCTCTATTAATTTTGAAGGTATATGGGCTTTATTTGGTATTCTGTGGCATTTGACTAAAGAATACCAAAGAATTTTTAAGTTTAATGTATGACTTAGATTGTTATCTTCAAGCAAGTTTTTCTGTAACAACAGATTTCAATTAATGTTATGAGAGTAGAAGAACAGAGAGATTATTGTTGAACTAAAATGAAGTCTGCACTGAAAAAGACTATTAAATAGTAGTGTAATAAGAAAGGAATGTTCATTATTAGTTTGGTTTGGGGCCATAGTCTCTGAATATTTAAAAAGGAAACTTATTTCCAAGGTAGCTTCTGATGAAATATTATTCCTTTCCAGGTTTTTTCTCAAAGTTTCAGAACTGTTCGATAAAACAAGAGTAAGTACTATTAATTAACCTTTGAGGGGGCTCTAAATCTCTGCATACAGTGGTATTTTTTTTTATTTATTTGTTTGTTTGTTTATACATGCACTGGGTTCAGTCAGAAGCACGGGAGGGTGAGAGAATTCACCAGAGCCAGAGCAGGGAGCAGAACAGGCAGAAGGACCGAGGTACACTGCTGAGGGGAGCAGCGGGCGGCAGGAGAGGTCTGCGCGCCATGCGGGACCCTCCTCCGGTGGCCGGGGAGCAGCCGGGGATCGAACGGGCGCCACAGAGGCCGCGGGCAGCTTCGCAACCCAGCGCTCAACCGCTGCGCCACCAGGGAGGCCCTACAGTGGTATTTAAATTGTTGCTTTGTTTATTAAGGAAGATGAGTTATACTTTATGAAGGTAAAGAGACAGATTTAGATTTGAAAATTTGAAATTTTTCCAGAGATTTCAGTATTTCTTTTCTTTTTTTAAAGATTTGTTTATTTATGCATACAAGAGCTGGGCTACAGGCTAGAGACACAGGGGGTGAGAAGACTCACCAGAGACAGAGCCGGAAACAGAACAGGCAGACTGACTGAAACACACTGCTGAGGGGAGCAGCAGGCAAGACAGGAGAGGTCTGCTTCACCATGTGAGTTGTTCCTTGGCCAGCCAGGGATCAAACTCATGCTGCAGAGGCTGTAGATTGCTTCACAGTGCAGTACTTAACCCCTACGCCACCAGGGAGGCCTGAGATTTCAGTATTTCTATAAAAGTTCATGTTCTTGATCAGAAAACATGTTCATTATGGAGATTGCATTGAATTGTATGAAAAGCAGTCCTTTACTGGGGCTTTGTAAACTAAAAGGTAGTTTTAGATCATTGTTGCTTTACTGAGTCTTGCTTTTGATCCTGGAATGGGTATCTGATCACATTCTGATGTAGTGGGTGGCGGGGGAAATCCCTGCACAAGCAGCAGTTCTCCAGACATTAACTGTGTATCCCATAATTTAACTCAGTTCTGACACAGTCTATCTGGAAGTAGCATCAAATTCCACAGATAAAAGACTCAGTCTCCCAAGACCACCCTCTACTCCAAATGCCAGTCCCAAGACCAGGTAGTTATCTGTAAATCAGGGGTTCCCAGGACTTCCTCCTCAAGTTCAATATGCTACAGCTGCTCACAGAACTCAGAGAAATGTTTATTTAATAGATTGCTGATTTATTATAAAAGGATATGACTCTGGAACAGCCAGATGGAAGAGATACATAGGGCAAGGAATGGGGAAAGGGTGCAGAACCTCCTTGTTCTTTCCAGGCACACTACTCTCCATGTTCTTTTCCAGGCACAGTACTCTACCCAGAAGCTTTGTGAACCTGGTTCTTTTGAGTTTTTATGGAGACTTTGTTATATAGATATGAATGAATAATTGGCCTTAACAGTTGAACTCAGTGACCAACCCCTCTTCCACCTCTGGGCTATCGACAGAAAGTTCCAACTCTCTAATCACATGGTTGGTTCTCCTAGTAATCACCTATATTTAGTTACTTCCAAGAATTACCTTATTTGGGCCTCCCCGGTGGTACAGCGGGTTCATTCTGCCGGCACTGTGAAGCTCTCCTCAGCCTCTGCAGCACGGGTTCAATTCCTGGCTGGCCAGGGAGATTCCCACATGGTGTGGCAAACCTCTCCTGTCTCACCTGCTGCTCCCCTCAGCAGTGCTTTTGGTCTGTCTGCCTGTTCTGCTCCCCACTCTGTCTCTGGTGAATCTTCTCACCCTCCCATGCCTCTGGCCTATACCCCAGCTATTGTAAATTAAAAAAAAAAAAAAAGATTTACCTCATTTGCTTAGCAAAAAATACCTTTATCACGCTCAATATTTAAGAAGTTCCAAGGGTTTTGGGAGCTGTGAACCAGGGACTGTGGCTTGAAACCAGATATACATGATATATTTTGATAATCTGAATGACCAAAATATATTTTTCTTATAAATAACAATATCTCAATCCCCCATGACACACTGGTTTAAAAGTGACTTGTATCAATATGAGGCAAGTATACAACTGCAGAAAGGTTGTATTCATAAAGCAATAATTTAATATTGACATAGTCTTGTTTTTCAGGGATCTGTCCTATACATAATAATTTAATTAGATGTTTAATGGTACTTAGATAAGAGTGTTATTGGCTCCATTGTAGAAAGTGTCAGTTAAGTGATAAGTAGTGGAGACAAGTAAAGGAAAAGAAGATACTCTCTCACAAAGGAAGAAGTCCTTAAGTATGTGTTATTATACTGGGATCTATGATAGCCCATTTTTTTCTGCCTTTGATACCATTGAGCATTTTCTGGGAAGATGTAGTTATTTTTCTGTGCATTTGCATTAAAAGATCACACTCCCAGACTTCAAACTATACTACAAAGCCATAATCATCAAAACTGCATGGTATTGGAACAAGAACAGACATACAGACCAATGGAATCGAATAGAAAATCCAGAAATAAACCCACAGATTTATGGTCAACTAATCTTTGACAAAGGAGCAAAGACTATGCATTGGAGCAAAGAAAGTTTGTTCAATAAATGGTGCTGGGAAAACTGGGTCGCTACATGCAAAAGAATGAAGCTTGACCACTACCTCACACCATACACAAAAATCAACTCAAAATGGATTAAAGAACTAGACATAAGACCTGAAACCATAAAATACATAGAAGGAAATATAGGCGAAACACTACGGGATTTGCACATCAAAGACATCTTTACAGACACATCACCCAAAGCAGTGATAGTGAAGAGAAAGATAAACAGCTGGGACTACATCAAATTAAAGAGCTTCTGCACAGCAAAAGAGACAATAACAAAAACAAAGAGAAACCCCACCAACTGGGAGAACATTTTTGCACCCAACACTAATGATAAAGGACTGATCACAAAAATCTGCAAAGAGCTGATGAGACTCAGCAACAACAAAGAAAATAATCCAGTCAAAAAATGGGCAGAAGAGCTAAAAAGAAACTTCTCTGAAGAGGAAATGCAAATGGCCAACAGACATATGAAAAAATGTTCAACATCACTTGTAATCAGGGAAATGCAAATCAAAACTACCATGAGATACCATCTCACACCAGTGAGAATGGCACATATTAAAAAAACTAGCAACAACAAATGTTGGCGAGGATGTGGAGAAAAAGGAACTCTTGTGCACTGTTGGTGGGAGTGCAAACTGGTCCAACCACTATGGAGAGCTGTGTGGAGATTTCTGGACCTACTAAACATAGAGCTTCCATATGATCCAGCAATTCCACTCCTAGGTATTTACCCAAAGGACACAGAAACATCAATTCCAAAGAGCACCTGCACTCCTATGTTTATAGCAGCACTGTTTACAATAGCTAAGCTTTGGAAACAACCCAAATGCCCAAAAATAGATGACTGGATCAAGAAGATGTGGTACATATATACCATGGAATATTACTCAGCATTCAAAAAAGATAAACACATGCAATTTGCAGCAACATGGATGGCACTGGAAGGGATCATGCTCAGCGAAATAAGCCAAAAAGAAAAAGAAAAATACCGGATGGTCTCACTCATAGCAGGAATCTAGAAAACTTAAATAAGGGACCAGGAAAATGAATATAAGAAAGTGAAAATCAAAATCAACAAAAAAACTATGAACCAGAGACACTTTTTGGGGGGTGGGGGGCGGGAGGGGAAGGATTGGGGTCAGAATGGGGCGTTTGCAATTGTATGGGGGAATATAAAAATAAAATTTAATAAAAAAAAAAAAAAAAAAAAAAAAAAAAAGAATAGGGATCTGGGCCTCCCTGGTGGCGCAGCGGTTGAGTGCTGGGTTGCGAAGCTGCCCTCAGCCTCTGCAGCGCCGGTTCGATCCCCGGCCACCGGCGAGTGTCCCACATGGTGCGCAGACCTCTCCTGCCACCCGCTGCTCCCCTCAGCAGTGTATTTCGTCAGTCTGCCTGCTCTGCTCCCTGCTCTGGCTCTGGTGGATTCACTCACCCTCCCGCGCTTCTGACTGTACCCAGTGCTTATATAAATAAATCTTACAAAAAAAAAAAAAGAATAGGGATCTGTCACAAAATAGCCTTTTTAATTGTAGCCCATGTACAAGAGATTTATTACAAAGAAAAAAGAGGAAGGAACAGGAGTGAAAAGGAAGGGCCTTCGGTAACAATACCAGTTTACACCTGCGAAAGGAGAAAGCAGGAGGACTTTGTGGGAAGTCTCAGACTATTGTGCAGTTCTAAGAAAATTTTGTCCCTTGCCCTTTTTTTAAGATGTATTTATTTTTCTATAAGAACTGGGGTACAGTCCAGATGCACGGGGGCGGGGGTGGTGAGAGGATTCACCAGAGATGGAGTGGGGATAGAACAGGCAGACTGATGAAATACACTGCTGAGGGGAGCAGCGGGCGAGACAGGAGAGGTCTGCTTCTCCATGTGGGATACTTGCTGGCTGGCCAGGATCGAACCTACACTTCAGAGGCTGCGGGACAGCTTCACAGTGCGGCGCTCATCCACCTGCGCCACCAGGGAGGCCCTGTCCCTCGCTTTTAAAAGGGGAGTCCCTGATCCAGAGTTGTCCATTAGAAGAGTTCTACATCAAGTAAGAGTAGCCTGATACCACGACCCTGTTCTCTTGTCATTCACTGGGTATAACCTAGACGAGGAGGGAAGGATAGAACATAACCCTGATGCAAACTTCTGGATCCAGAGAGATTGCAGTGGGAGCTGTAAGTCAACTATGCTCCCCTCATGTAGCAATCCTTATTTATAAGGATTATAATAACCACAATCCTTATTTTTTTAATGCTTCATGTTGTTCTTGCTATTATTGATATGAATGATGATCCTAAAATCAGTAGCATAAAGCAACAACCATTTTATTATGAATGTTAGGGTCAGGAATTCAGCAGAGATGGCTTGCTTCTGCTCTACAGTGTGTGGGACCTCAACTGGTAGACATTAGTTCTGGGAACTGCAATTATTTGAAGCTCTTCTACTCATATTTCTTGGGGTCAGTACTAGCTATCATCTGAGACTTCGAGGATTGTTGGTTGGAGTTCCTACTGTGACCTTTCCAAAGAACTGCTTAGGCTTCCTCACAGTATGAAGGGTAGTTTCCAAAAGATGGAAGTGGAAGCTGCTCGTTTTATAAGACCTGGGCCTGGAAATGAATGCAGAATCACTTCTATACTGGTCAAGCAGTCTTAGAGCCCAGATTCAAGGGGAAGGGAACACATTCTCTACTTCTTAATGGAAGGAGAAAAGCCATATGTAAAAATAGCCAACACCTTTCTAGTATGTTATTAAGTTATCTTAAGTCAATTTTGAATGTGTTCTTTGTCTATGTTCTCATCTGTTAAGAAGTTCCATAAGGGGCTTTCCTGGTGGCACAAGGGGTTAAGTGTTAGCACTGTGAAGCTATCATCAGCTACTGCAGCATGAGTTCGAGCCCCAGCCAGCCAGGGAGCTGACCCACATGGAGCAGCAGACCTTTCCTATCTCGCCTGCTGCTCCCCTCATCAGTGTATTTTAGTCAGTCCACCTGTTGTGCTCCCCACTCTCTCTCTCACCCTAACACCCCTGGCCTATACCCGTTCTAGTATGTATTAATAAATAAACCTTTTTTTTTTTTTTTTTTTTTAAAGATTTATTTATTTATTTATACAAGCACTGGGTACAGTCAGAAGTGCGGGAGGGTGAGAGAATTCACCAGAGTCAGAGCGGGGAGCAGAGCAGGCAGAGGGGCCGAAGTACACTGCTGAGGGGAGCAGCGGGCGGCAGGAGAGGTCTGCGCGCCATGTGGGACCCTCCTCCAGTGGCCAGGGAGCAGCCTGGGATCGAACCGGCACTGCGGAGGCTGCAGGCAGCTTCGCAACCCAGCGCTCAACCACTGCGCCACCGGGGAGGCCCATAAATAAACCTTTTTTTAAAAAAAGTTCCGTTACTTTATTTCTCCATAAATAATGTTTTGGGGTTTTTTTTTAAGATTTATTTGTTTATGTACACAAGAATTGGGGTATAGGGCAGAGGTGCAGGGAGATGAGAGGATTCACCTGAGATAAAGTGGGGAGCAGAACAGGTGGATCTACTGAAATATACTGGTGAGGGGAGCAGCGGGCAAAACAGGAGAGGTCTGTGCCATGCCATGTGGGTCAGCTCCCTGGTCAGAGATCAAACTCATGCCACAGAGGCTAGCGATAACTTGATAGCACTGAGATTTAACCCCTGTGCCACAAGGGAGGCTCCATAAATAATATTTTCTAAGATGATTCAACTTTTTTCTAACTTTTCAATAAGATGTTATACAAATAAGAAAGTAGCACATATCAGACGTGTACAACCCAGTGATTTTACACACACATAATCAACACCTAGATCAGGAAATAGAACATTATCAGCAACTCAGTTGTCTTGCCCCTTTCCTACACAAACCTTTCAAGTCACTCGTGCAGGGGTAATCACTCTTTTAACAGCAAAGATTAGTTTTACTTTCATATTTCATATAAACGCATTATGCAATATGTATTCTTACATGTCTGGTGTCATTTACTCAACATTGTGTTCCGAAGATTTATTTCATGTTGCTGGTAGGTATAGTTCCTTCATTGTTACTGCTGTATACTTGCTGTATAATGTATTTTTTTTTTTTTTTTGCAAGACTACCTAAATTTATTTGTTCTGTTGTGCTAGTCATTGGATAGCTTTTAGTTTGAGCCTCCTTACAAATAGTACTGCTGAGACCATTCTTCTTCAGCTGAAACATAAGTATGTATATATTTCACACTAACAGGGAAGTTGCATGAATAGCACAAAGAATACCTATACATAATCACCTGGATTTCCTGAATGTTAACATTTTCTGCTTTGCTGTAAGCGTTTCTATTTCAAAAAGTCTGTATTAGTTTTTGTTTTCTGCCTTTTACACACAGCTCTTCTTTTTAAAGATAGGAATAAATTTTTATGTAGCCGATATGATTATCAGTGATTCCCCTTACTGTCACCAAATATCCAGTATTCAGTTGTTCCCAGGTGTCTCATAAGTGGTTTTTACAATGGTATTTATTTGAGTCAGGATACAAACAAGATGTCCATGTTGCCTCTGGTTGCTGTGGTATATCTTTATTTTCTGTCCTCCAGATTGAAGATTTCTTAATGCTTTAGTCTAACATGACTATTTCCCATTCCACCCTATCCCAAATTCTATCCTAGCTAAAATTTACTACATCCGTTTATAACTCTTCAAGCACATTTTGTTAATATATTGGCTATGTTTTCTGGTTGTCCTAGGCAATAAGTTTGGTTTAAGTATATAGTCTACCATTGCTAGCCTTTATTACTTAAAAATTATATGTACGGAACAATTGCCAGTGGTATGAATAAAGAGGTAAGGGAAGTTGAAAGATGATAGTGAAACTCAGTATAGTCAACTTGGGTCACATAGAGTCCTTTATTAATTCACTAATATCTTTTTCTCTATCATTTTTGTTAGGGTTATGAAGAAACACAACACTAGAGACAGATGCAACTTTTTAATAGTAATTAAAAAGAAAATACTGAGAGTAAAATGTAAATGCTGTGATTAAATACCCAATTTTCCTCCCCTTTTCAGAAAATAGAAGCACGGGTGTCTGCTGATGAGGACCTCAAGCTTTCTGACCTTTTAAAATACTACTTAAGAGAATCTCAAGCTGCTAAGGTAACTTTATAATTCACTGTTTTTTTTTGAAATAGCTCTTTATTTTATTTAAATTTTATTTTTATATTCCCCGTACAATTACAACCCCCTTATTTTGACCCCAATTCCTCCTTCCCCCCACCCCATTCCCCCATAGAGTGTCTCTGGTTCATAGTTGTTTGTTGATTTTGATTTTTACTTTCTTATAGTTACTCTTTTTCCTGGTCCCTTATTTAAGTTTTCTAGATTCCTGCTATGAGTGAGACCATCCGGTATTTTTCTTTTTCTTTCTGGCTTATTTTGCTGAGCATGATCCCTTCCAGCTCCATCCATGTTGCTGCAAATTGCATGTGTTTATCTTTTTTGAATGCTGAGTAATATTCCATAGTGTATATGAACCACATCTTCTTGATCCAGTCATCTATTTTTGAGCATTTGGGTTGTTTCCAAAGCTTAGCTATTGTAAATAGTGCTGCTGTAAACATAGGGGTGCAGGTGCTCTTTGGAGTTGATGTTTCTGTGTCCTTTTGGTAAATACCTAGGAGTGGAATTGCTGGATCATATGGAAGGTCTATGTTTAGTAGGTCAAGAAATCTCTACACAGCTCTCCATAGTGGTTGGACCAGTTTGCGCTCCCACCAACAGTGCAGAAGAGTTCCTTTTTCTCTACAACCTCGCCAACATTTGTTGTTGCTAGTTTTTTTAATATGTGCCATTCTCACTGGTGTAAGATGGTATCTCATGGTAGTTTTGATTTGCATTTCCCTGATGACAAGTGATGTTGAACATTTTTTCATAAGCCTGTTGGCCATTTGCATTTCCTCTTCAGAGAAGTTTCCTTTTAGCTCTTCTGCCCATTTTTTGACTGGATTATTTTCTTTGTTTTTGTTGAGTCTCATCAGCTCTTTGTAGATTTTTGTGATCGGTCCTTTATCATTAGTGTTGTGTGCAAAAATGTTCCCCAGTCGGTGGGGTTTCTCTTTGTTTTTGTTATTGTCTCTTTTGCTGTGCAGAAGCTCTTTAATTTGATGTAGTCCCAGCTGTTTATCTTTGCCTTCACTATCACTGCTTTGGGTGATAGTAGTGTTTCGTCTATATTTGTAGTGTTTCGTCTATATTTATTATGTAGTGTTTCGTCTATATTTTGTAGTGTTTCGTCTATATTTCCTTCTATGGATTTTATGGTTTCAGGTCTTATTTCTAGTTCTTTAATCCATTTTGAGTTGGTTTTTGTGCATGGTGTTAGGTAGTAGTCAAGCTTCATTCTTTTGCATGTAGCGACATAGTTTTCCCAGCACCATTTATTGAACAAACTTTCTTTGCTCCAATGCATATTCTTTGCTCCTTTGTCGAAGATTAGTTGACCATAAATCTGTGTGTTTATTTCTGGATTTTCTATTCGATTCCAGCTGTGTGTCTGTTCTTGTTCCAATACCCTGCAGTTTTGATGATTATGGCTTTGTAGTATAGTTTGAAATAGCTCTTTAACAAAAAGCCATCTCTTTAGAAGTTGTTAGACTTGAAATTGTTGAAGAGGATATATCTCTTGGTTCTAAATTACATTTTCTTTTTAAAATTTATTTATTTATGCATATAAGAGTTGGGGTACAGGCCAGAGATGCGGGGGTTGAGAGGATTCACCAGAGACACAGTGGGAAACAGAGCAGGCAGACTGACCAGAATACACTGCTGAGGGGAACAGCAGGCGAGACAGGAGAGGTCTGCTTCGCCCCTGGCCCGCCGGGGATTGAACTCATGCTGCAGAGGCTGCAGATTGCTTCATAGTGCAGTGCTTAACCCGTTACACCACTAGGGAGGCCCCTAAATTACATTTTCAAGTGTGAATGATTTTTTTCCTCCTTTTAGCTATTATTAGTTAGAAAACCCTACATAAAAGATTTCCTTTAAAATTTCTGATACAATATAGTCTGAAACTTTTTTTTTAGTTTTATTTTTATTTATTTATGCATACAAGACCTAGGGTCTAGGCCAGAGGTGCAGGAGGTGAAAGGATTCACCAGAGACAGAGTTTGGAGCAAAACATGCAGATCCACTGAAATACGCTGCTGAGGGAAGCACCAGGCGAGACAGGAGAGGTCTGCTACATCATTGGATTAGCTCCCTGGGCAGGAATTGAACTCATTCTGCAGTGGCTGGCGATGGCTTGATAATGTTGAGACTTTAAAAACCCTTTGCCAACAGGAAGGCCATGCACATTTTTTAAAAATGTGCATTGTTGGGCCTCCCCTGGTGGCGCAGATGGTTGAGCACCGCGCTCTGAGGCTGTCCACGGCCTCTGTAGCTCAGGTTTGATCCAGGCCAGCCGGCAAGATGCCACATGGCACAGCAGACCTCTCCTGTCTCGTCTGCTGCTCCCATCAGCAGTGTGTTTCAGTCAGTCTGCCTGTTCTGTTCCCCGCTCTGTCTCTGGTGAATCCTCTCACCCTCTTGTACATCTGGTCTTGTATAAATATATAAAAATCTTAAAAAAAAAAAAGAAAGAAAGAATGGGCCTCCCAGGTGACGCAGGGGTTGAGCACTGAGTTGTGAAGCTGCCCGCAGCTTCTGCAGCGCCGGTTCAATCCCCAGCCGCTGGGTGAGGGTCCCACATGGCGCGCAGACTTTTCCTGCCTCCCGCTGTTCCCCTCAGCAGTGTACTTCGGTCCTTCTGCCTGTTCTGCTCCCCAATCTGGCTCTGGTGAATTCTCTCACCCTCCCGCACTTCTGACTGTATCCAGTGCTTATATAAATAAATAAATAAATCTTTTTAAAAAAAAAGAAAGAAAGAAAATGTAACCTTTCCTCTTTAAAAAAAAAAATAAACAAGTGTGGGTTTTTTTTTTTTAAAGATTTATTTTATTGGGGCCTCCCTAGTGGCACAAGGGGTTAAGCACAGCACTGTGAAGCTATCTGCAGCCTCTGCAGCACAAATTCAATCCCCAGCCGGCCAGGGAGCAACCCACATGGTCCAGCAGATCTCTCCTGTCTCAACTGCTGCTCCCCTCAGCAGTGTATTTCAGTCAGTCCGCCTGTTCTGTTCCCCACACTGTCTCTGGTGAATCCTCTCACCCCCCACACCTCTGGCCTGTACCCCATATTTATTTATGCATACAAGAGCTAGAGTGTAGGGCAGAGGTGAGGGAGGGTGAGAGGATTCACCAGAGACAGTGTGGGGAACAGAACAGGCAGATCTGCTGAAACAGACTACTGCGGGGAGCAGCAGGTGAAATAGGAGAGGTCTGCTGCGCCACGTGGGTTAGCTTCCTGGCTGGGTATTGAACTCGTGCTACAGTGGCTGTCGATAGCTTCATAGTGCTGAGACTTAACCCGTTGCATCATCAGGAAGGCCCCTAAAAATGTGAAATGTGTTTTTAATTTCCAATTTTATTTGTTCATTCTTGGTGTATAAAGAAAGTTATTGGCTTTTGTGTATTAGTATACCCTACAACCTTTTTATACTCATTTATTACTTTCAGGAGTTTTTTGTTTGATCCTTTTAAATTTCTACATAAGCATTTTATGTCATGTGAACAAAGATAGTAAGAGCTAAAATTATAAAATTTTTAGAAGAAAACAAACAAATCTTGCCACCTTGGATTAGGTTTCGATTTTTTCAGTGATACCAGAAGCACAACAACCAAAGAAAAGTAACAAATTGCATTTTGTTAAATTAAAGACTTGTTGGGCCTCCCTGATGGTGCAGGGATTAATTCTCAGCATTATGAAGCTATAGGCAGCCACTGCAACGCGGTTCAATCTCAGCCAGGGAGCTAACCCACATGGCACGGGACACCTCTCCTGTCTCACCCGCTGCTCCCCCCATTAGTGTATTTCAGTCGATCTGCCAGCTCTGCTCCCCACTCTGTCTGTGGTGAATCCTCTTGCCCCCCACACCTCTAAGTAATGAACTATGACAGAGAAATTAAAACTTGTTAAAACAAAAACTTGTACCCAATGTTCATATAGCATTATTCAAAATATGTGGTATATCCATACCATAAAATATTTAACGATAAAATAATGAATTACTGATCCATGCCATAACATAGATGTACTTAGAACTTCATTATGAGTTTAAAAAACTAGACACTGGGCCTCCCCGGTGGCGCAGTGGTTGAGCGCTGGGTTGCGAAGCTGCCCGCAGCCTCTGCAGCGCCGGTTCAATCCCCGGCTGCTCCCCGGCCACCAGAGGAGGGTCCCACATGGCGCTCAGACCTCTCCTGCTGCCCGCTGCCCCCCTCAGCAGTGTACTTCGGTCCCTCTGCCTGCTCTGCTCCCCGCTCTGGCTCTGGTGAATTCTCTCACCCTCCTGCACTTCTGACTGTACCCAGTGCATATATAAACAAACAAACAAACAAACAAACAAATAAATAAAAAATGTTCCCACCACAAAAAAAATATTATAAAAAACTAGACACCAAAGACCACCTATTATATGATTCCATTTTTAAAGAAATATTCAAAATAGGGTTAATCTGTAGAGGCAAAAAGCAGAGTGATATTTGGTGGGGGGCGGGAGGGAGTGGTCTTGCTTTGGGTGAAAATGGAGATCAACTGCTAATGAATATGGTGTTTTTGGAAGAGGGGCAACGGAAATATCCTAAAATTGATTGTAGCAGTGGCTATCCAACTCTGTGAGCATATTAAAATCCATTGAATTTTGCACTTTGAATAAGTTATATGGTGTACGAATAGTATCTCAATTAAATTTTAAAAATTAGAATAGCTGGCATGTAGTATTCACTGTATAAATGTTAGCTCTAATGATCAGCGGTGGGATAGTGGGAGATGTCTGGGGTGAGTGTTAACCTCTGGAAATATGCAGCATGTATTATTGTAAAGCATTGTGTTGTTTATAGGATCTCCTCTATCGAAGATCTAGATCCCTAGTGGATTATGAAAATGCTAATAAAGCACTGGATAAGGCAAGAGCAAAAAATAAAGATGTTCTACAGGCAGAAACATCCCAACAAATGTGTTGTCAGAAATTTGAAAAAATATCTGAATCTGCAAAACAAGGTACTTTCATATTAGCCTTTATCAGAGGGTATGATGTAAAGTATTATGTAAATTAAATAATTAATCCTGACTCTTTTGTTCACAGAACTTATAGATTTTAAAACAAGAAGAGTTGCTGCATTCAGAAAAAATTTAGTGGAACTGGCAGAATTAGAACTGAAGCATGCAAAGGTAGTATCATATTAAATAAAGATTTAATAATAATTAAGTGACTTATAATAACACCTATCATGTTTCTGATGATCAGCTTGGTTTTTGTTTGTTTTTTAATTTTTGTATAGAAGAACTAGGGTGTAGGCCAGAGGTGTGGAGGGGTTGGGGCAGGAAGGGGTATGAGAGGATTCACCAGAGACACAGTGGGGAGCAGAACAGGCAGGTTACTGAAATACACTGCTGAGGGGAGCAAGGGGTGAGACAGGAGAGATGTGGTGCGCCATGTGGATCACCTCCCTGACCAGTGATCGAACTCATGCTGCAGTCAGTGGCTGCAGATAGCTTCATAGTGCTTCAACTTAACCCCTTGCCCCATCAGAGGCCACTGTTTTGTTCTTTTTAAAAAGATCATAGGGCCTCCCCTGGTGGTGCAAGCGGTTGGGTGCAGTGCTATGAAGCTGTCCCGCAGCCTCTGCAGCGCCTTTTGATGCAGCCTCTGCAGCGCCTTTTGATCCCAGCAGGCCAGTGGGGGTCCCACATGGCACTGCGGACCTCTCTTGCTGTGCCTGCTGCTCCCCTCAGCAGTGTATGTCGTCAGTCTGCCTCTTTTGTTCCCCACTCTGTCTCTGGTGAATCCTCCCACCCGTCTGGCCTGTACCCCGATTCTTGTATAAAGAAATAAATAAATCTTTAAGAAAAAAAATAAATAAAAAGATCATAAAGTATCAAAGATTTTGTTAGAAATCAAACAAACTGTGGCCCTTCTGCTTTTTGTGTAGCCTGTGTGCCAGGAAGGGTGTTCATATTTTTAAATGGTTGTAAAAAGACAGCAAAAGAATAATATTTCATGATATGTGATAATTATATGAAATTATATTTAACCTATAAATAAGAATATAGCCACACTTATTAATTAATGCTTTGTCTGTGGTTGCTTTCACACTGCTATGGAAACATTGAGACCGAATGTCTTTCAAAGTCTGAAATGTTTACTCTTTTTTTTTTTTTTTTTTTTTCAATTTTAATTACAGTATATTATAGTTCTATTTTATTTTTGTTAGCCTCTTATTGTGCTTAGTTTATAAATTCAACTTTAAATAGGTATGTATAAGAAAAAAACAAGTAGGGTTTAGTGCTGTGGTTTTAGGCATCCACTGGGGGTCTTGGAACATATCTCTTGCAGATAAGTGGGGAGGGACAGCCTTGTGGACTTACTGTTAACCATTTTGGAGGTAATTTTAATTGTTTTTTTTTTTTTTTTATGGTAATTATTCCTGTTTAATTTTTAAAAGGAAAGTGAATATGTAATAAATGCAGTTTGTTTTCAAATTAGGTATGCAACGCACTTAGCTCAGTGCCTGGTCCATAACAACCATAATTAATTCAACCAATATTTATGGAGTCTCCACTCAGTGCTAAGCATGATTCAGAGTGTTGAAGATATAGTAATTAGTAAAAGACACAAAAATTCCTGCCTAATTGAACTCACAGTCTAGTGACAACAATAATGTTAATAAAAATGCTTACAATTAATTAGCATATGAACTAATATGAATTTATATGGCCCCCAACTTATGATGGTTCAATTAACTATTTTCAACTATGCAATGGTGCAAAAGAGGTGTGCATTCAGTAGAAATTGCACAAAGAAATTTGAATTTTGATATTTTCCTGGGCTAAAGCTATGTAGAGTGATCTCTGATGATGCTGGCAATGGTTGCGAGCCACAGCTCGAGTCAGCCTTGAAATCATGAAGGGAAACAGCCTTCTGGACTTTATTTATTTATTTATTTATTTTATTTTTATTTTTATTTATTTATTTATTTATTTTTTTATTAGATAATAAATTTTATTGTTATATTCCCCATACAATTGCAGCCCCCCCATTCTGATCCCAATCCCTCCCCTCCCGCCCCCGCCCCCCTAAAAGTGTCTCTGGTTCATAGTTTTTTGCTGATTTTGATTTTCACTTTCTTATAGTTATTCATTTTCCTGGTCCCTTATTTAAGTTTTCTAGATTCCTGCTATGAGTGAGACCATCCGGTATTTTTCTTTTTCTTTTTGGCTTATTTCACTGAGCATGATCCCTTCCAGCGCCATCCATGTTGCTGCAAATTGCATGTGTTTATCTTTTTTGAATGCTGAGTAATATTCCATGGTATATATGTACCACATCTTCTTGATCCAGTCATCTATTTTTGGGCATTTGGGTTGTTTCCAAAGCTTAGCTATTGTAAACAGTGCTGCTATAAACATAGGGGTGCAGGTGTTCTTTGGAATTGATGTTTCTGTGTCCTTTGGGTAAATTCCTAGGAGTGGAATTGCTGGATCATATGGAAGCTCTATGTTTAGTAGGTCCAGAAATCTCCACACAGCTTTCCACAGTGGTTGGACCAGTTTGCACTCCCACCAACAGTGCAGAAGAGTTCCTTTTTCTCCACACCCTCGCCAACATGAAATGTTTACTCTTTAGCCCTCTACAGAAAGAGTTTTCTAACCTCTACTGTGGATACATGCCTTCCTCTGATTTTCCATATTCTGTACTTCAAATCTTGTCTAAAATGAATTCTGTCTTCAGATTTCAAAAGCTCTTTTATTCCAATGACTCTCAAATGGAGGTGATTTTGCCTCCCAAGAGACATTTAGCAATGTCTGGAAACATTGTGGTTGTCATACTGCAGGTGAGGATTATATGGACAAAAAAAAGTCAAGGAGTGTGAGGTTGAGAAATCTTTCTCTGTTGTCTAAGATATCCCAGAATCCACAAAAATTATTCCCAAGACTAGATACTAGTAGGTTTACAATAAGGTGCTTACTGTTTTGTATTTCATTTATTATAATTGGCATATGTGGGGCCTCCCTGGTGGTGCAAGGGGTTAAGCACCGCACTATGAAGCTATCTGAAGCCTCTGCAGCACGAGTTCGATCCCTGGCCAGCCAGGGAGCAACCCACATGGCACAGCAGACCTCTCCTGTCTTGCCCGCTGCTCCCCTCAGCAGTGTGTTTCGGTCAGTCTGTCTGTTCTGCTCCCCGCTCTGTCCTCTCACCCCCCACATCTGTGGCCTGTACCCCAGCTCTTATATGCATGAATAAATAAATCTTTAAAAATGTATATATAATTGGCATATGTCTTGCCACATAATTAAAATCTGGTTATAATAGAAAACTAGGTTGTTAGGCCAGTTGTTTTTTATTTTTTTTAAGATTTTTAGTTATTTATGCAAAGAAGAACTGGGCAGAGGAGTCAGAGGATTCACCAGAGATAGAGTGGGGAGCAGAACAGGGAGATCTACTAAAATACACTGCTGAGGGGAGCAGTGGGCGAGACAGGAGAGGTCTGCTGCACCATGTGGGTATCTCCCTGGCCAGGGAGTGAACTCATGCTGCAGAGGCTGTGGATTGCTTCACAGTGCTGTGCTTAACGCCTTGCGGCAACACAGAGGCCCAGGTATAGATGGAAATTTACTGAAGAACTGGTATGTGGAAAACAGTGCACAGGAAACAATTTAAGTAATTTTTTTTTCTTTAAACTTGTATTTATATATAGTGAATGGCACTTTGCAAAATTATCATACCTTAGCAAACTTGTATTTTCAACAGGAATCTTCCAAACTCTGAACTTCATAATTTATTTCCCCCTCCCCCACCCCTTTTTTAGGGTAACCTACAGTTGCTGCAGAACTGCCTGGCAGTGTTAAATGGAGACACATAAGCCACACTCCACCTTCTGGTTGAAAAGGGCTGCCTTCCTTCAGATTTTTTTTCTGTTTTCTTAATGATATTAGGCATTTACTGCTCACTGGAAACAAAAGAAACAGCTGACAAAGTGCATCTACTCTCCTTTTCTTCTGAGAAATAGTGGAGCAGTGCCGCCCACAGGTGCTGCAGTCTGTGGTGGTCACTGTGGTCCAGCATCTGAACCCCACACAGCTCTCCATCCCCATCACCTTGCGCGCCTGCCCTTCAAAAGCCAAAAGTTCAGTCTTTTTGTTTAAATTGCCTCTGTAATTGTTAATTTTATGACTAGCATTCCTTATGGCTTCCAGTCTTATTTACCTTTAATTTCTGAAATTTAACCCTTTCAAAATACATTGTTCAATTGAGATAAAGATTGCTGTTACTTTTTTGCGAATTTTGTTTTTAAAAAATACCGTATACCACCTTCATGTATTCTGGAAAAGCATCTTAATCAGACTTACTTTTAATTAATGACATTTTAGGGACAGACTTTATGTAATCTTTATGATTTCTGAAGAAAAGCAAATGCATTAGTATGTTTGCCTTAAACTTGTAGACTAAACCAATTATTGTCAAATAAACGGTGATAACAGTGATACTTTTTAACTGTGGTCATTGTAGATCACTTTAAAATGTGGAGTAGCTATAATAAATCTACTCCTCTATTATGTATGCTTTACAGTGCAAGTCTTAGTTTTCTCTTTACTTGTATTTCTTTTAAAGTGGCATACTGGACCAAGTTGACCAATCCCTTTACAAAAGAAGGAACTGCTTCTCTGTGCACTTTTAGCCTTCATAAAAATTGGAATTGGGCAGAGGCAGGTTAGAGACAGCTATGTGTGAAATGCAGGTTTCCTGGAACCCATCCCTAGCTCAGCCAGTGAACCATGCAGCAATTTGCCATTGGAGCCCCTTGGTAATTGTCTACATGTATGACTGACATGTAGAGGGAAAGAGCCTGCTATAGGAAATGGCACCTGTTGATGAGAAATGAGACTTGGGATAAAAGTTGGTGTACAGAAAGGATACTAATAATGGTCAGTTACAATACAGATGTTATTGGACTTTCTAATGTGAATGAACATTATGTCTTCCTAGTTTAAAACTAGATTGAGTAGTTGGAGTCTTCCACTTTTTTGTTAACTTCTACTTCAAGCCCATTTGTGTTGGCCTCCTCTCAGTGGGCCTCTAGTTCATTTATGTTTCTCCAAACTGTTCTGAATAATGCCTGGTCTGGGTCTGCATCATCCCAGTTGTTTCAGGTTTCATCTCTTTAACAACTGACATTGTTCCCCATTTGAGCTGTTTGTTTTTTCTGTTGGCTGAGAAATCTGTGTCCTTCATGTCACCCTCACTAGTAAAAAATATGTCCACGTGATGCCCGTTAGTGGATGAATGTAGGATGGAAAACACTAGCTTCTGGATCTGGGTGCCACCTCCTCTCTTGTGGCCTCAGCAGATTTGCTTGACCTCTGTCTGCCTCCGTTTTCTCTACTATAAAGGACATATTGACCTACCTCACAGGGGTGTTGTGAGGAATAATAAATGTTGGTACAGTGCTTTGGAAATGTGAAGATGCTGTGTAAATGCTAAAAAAAATAATAATACCAAGTACAGGGCAAAAAAGCTAACGTTCTACTTCCATCAGTTTATCTGTTTCTATCAAGAAGGTCTTTTGGGGGGTGGGGAGCGGGGAGTTGGTTAGTGTTAGAAGGTACATCCTTGGGTCCAGTTTACATTTTTAGATTTTACAGTTTAGAGTACTTGTAGGGTTTGGGTAAACAGCAGGTACTGATGTTGTGCTGAGGGGAGGAGGGGAGGAGGGTTACTTAGTAACTATGTGTAACAGCTGACCAGTTGACACTCTCCAAGGACTTTCAGTAGCAAAATGCACAAATTCAGTAAAGAATGTTACTCCTTCAAGGGCATTCTAGGAAAGATTCTACTTTGCATGCCCTCACCAGGTACTGTACATGTAAACGCCAGCAGAACCGTCCCAGAACCCCTCAGTAGCCCTACAGGCTGAACTTCCCTCGTGAACACTTGACAAGTCTCAGCAGGACAAATGTCCCAGAATTGTGACCCCCCCCACTTCCATCCTTAAGCATCCGTAGCTTCCTTACAAAAGCAAAAGCGGGTCCCAGACGTACACTGCAGCGGTTAACTGAAGCTTTTCGCTGTCCTGCATTGCCCCCCTCATATACTTGCAATTTATGAAAAAAGGTTACAGACTCAATACCTTACTAACAAGCCTGAAAAAAAAATGTCCCTTTTTTTGAACACCCGTTATCAGGGGAGAGCGCGAACGCAGTCCCCCACTACCACAAATTATGCAGTCGAGTTTCCCACATTTGGGGAAATCGCAGGGGTCAGCACATCCGGAGTGCAATGGATAAGCCTCGCCCTGGGAAAACCACCTTCGTGATCATGGTATCTCCCCTGCCAGGTAAGTATGAGCTGCTCGCCGCGCCGACACCCACACCCCGCTCCGCACCTCGCTCTTCACACACGGTCGCTCGCCTCGCGCCGCCCGCCCGCCCCGACGCCCGCGCCGGCCCTCGCCCCGACCTCGCCCGGCCCGAAAGCGCTCCGGGGGCACGGGCGCCCCCAGACCAGCTCGCGCAGGGCCCAGCGCAGCAGGCCCAGCCTCCTCCGCGCGCTGCTCATCTACATACGCCACGCCCCGTGTCGCCGCGGGCGCGCCGACCTCTAGCTCTGGCGGACGCGCTCGCGCCGGTGCCCTCCCGAGACACGCGCGGGGCGGGGCTGGACGCGCGCCCATCCCGGCCTGGAGGGGAGACGCGGGGGCACCGGGGCTCGCGGATCTCGGCGCCCCGCAGTTAAGAGGAACAAGGAAGAAGGTCAAAGCCTGATTTGGGGCTCATCGCCCTGTCGACAAAAAGCACACGTAACTGCCAATAAAATCTTAGATGCCGAGTTAAAGTATCATCAATTTTTTAAATGATTTTTTAAATGATTGATTTATTTATGATTATAAGAATTGGGGTACAGGCCAGAGGTGTGGGAATTAATAGGATTCACCAGACACAGAGCGGGGAACAGAAAAGGCAGACTGACCGAAGTACACTGCTAGGGGAGCGGGGTGGGCGGGGGGGGGGGGGGGGGGGGAGACAGGGGAGGTCTGCTGGGCCATGTGGGTTGCTCCCTGGCCGCCGGGGATCGATCGAACTCGTGCTGCAGAGGCTGGGGATTGCGTCATCGTGAGGTGATTAACCCCTTGGGCCACCAGGGAGGCCCTCAGTGTGTATTTCTTTTAAAAAAAAATTCTGTTACCTGTCCCCACTACAATGATCAGAATAAAGAAACAACTAATACAATATTATTATCTGCTGTATAGACATTATTCCATCCATTTGCTGCTTCTTTTTTTTTTTTTAAAGATTTATTTATTTATAGGGGCCTCCCCTGGTGGCGCAGCGGTTGAGCGCTGGCCTGCGAAGCTGCCTGCAGCCTCTGTAGCGCCAGTTTGATCCCCGGCCACCTGAGAGGGTCCCACATGGCTCGTGGACCTCTGCCGCCCGCTGCTCCCCTCATCAGTGTACTTCTGTCCTTCTGCCTGTTCTGCTCCCCGCTCTGGCTCTGGTGAATTCTCTCACCCTCCCACACTTCTGACTGTACCCAGTGCTTGTATAAATGAATGAATAAATGAATAAATAAATAAATAAATATGCAAGAACCGGGGTACAAGCCAGATGTGCAGGAGGGTGAGAGGATTCACCAGAGACAGAGCGGAGAACAAAAAAGGCAGACTGATGAAATACACTGCTGAGGGAAGCAGCAGGCGAGACAGGAGAAGTCTACCGTGCCATATGGGACGCTCGCTGGCCGGCAGGGATTGAACCGGCGCTGCAGAGGCTGTGGACAGATTCACAGGGTTGCGCTCAACATCCTGTGTACAAGGGGAGGCCCCTATTCCATTCATTTTCACTAATTGTCCCAATAATGTCCTTTGCATCAAAGGAAAATTCAAAATCACGTGTTGCATTTAGTTGCCATCTCTAACCCACTTTATTGTGAAAATGGTTTTTAGGTCCCTTGTATTTCTTTTCTTTTTTTATTTTTAGATATTATTTCTATTTATTTATGCACACAAGAACTGGGATGTAGGCCAGAGGTTCAGGGGTTGTATGTGTGTGAGAAGATTCACCAGAGACAGAGTGGGGAGCAGAACAGGCAGATCTACTGAAATACACTGCTGAGGGGAGCAGCAGACAAAATAAGAAGGCCTGTTGTGCCATGTGGGATGGAACTCATGCCACAGTGGCTGGTAATAGCTTGATAGTGCTGAGACATTAATCCCTGGGCCACCAGGAAGGCCCCCCAACCTTACATTTCATTATGTAGGCATTTTGAATACTATTTTGTAGAATATCCTTCAGTTTTGGGGGGTGAACTATATTTTCCCATAATTACTTTCAGGTATACATTTTCAATGCAAAGACTACATAAATAATGTGTCTTTTTATAAGTTCATTGTGCCCCCCCCCCCAATAAATGCTTATTCACCTGTGGATTTGATCTTGGAAACATATACAATCAGGCTAAGAAGGGGTCACTAGCATGGGCCCTGATCCTAAAAGACTGTTACTCTTATATATGAGAGCAAAATGTTGTGCAGAGAATAAATACTGTGAAGCGCTGGAATGATGCGGCCACATGCTTAGGATTAACTGTCACTGCTAGTGATTTGGAAAGGACACGGAGAGATTTAACTCAGGTTGGGCCTATGAATATCCCTTCAATTTGACTACTGTCACTGTCTTCTTTTCATTTGAGTTGTTTCGTCTGCTGGCCACCAGGCAGGGCAGATTGGCAACAGCAGGGGGAGGTGGGGAGCAGGAGCCCCATCAATCCAAACTCCACTTCATTCCTCCATCCACATCAGCAATGGTAGGACTCTGCTGCACCCTAATGGCAGGACTTGGTAAGACATTGACCCAGGCCAAGCACAGCTTTACTTCACCATTATTTAGGAACTGGACATCTGAATTGTTTCTTTGTTTTGCTTCACCAAAAAAAAAAAAAAAAGAAGAAGAAGAAGAAGAAAAGAGCTGGACAAATATGCTGCTGTGTTTTCGCTTCTAGGCCCCTTCAGTCGATAGCTAGGAAATGCATATTTTCCTAAATATGTATACACTATGAAAAATCAGCCCTTGGGCCTCCCTGGTGGCGCAAGGGTTAAAATGCAACCCACGAAGCTGTCTGCAGCCACTGCAGCTCAGAGTTCAATCCCCGGACAGGGAGCAACCCACATGGAGCTGCAGACCTCTGCAGCAGTGTGTTTCAGTCTATCCGTCTGTTCTGTACCCCACCTGTCTCTGGTGAATCCTCTCACCCCCCGCACATCTGGCCTGCACCCCAGTTCTTGTATGCATAAATAAATTAAAAAATTTAATAAAAAATGAGCCCATACTCATTTTAATTTTCAGTAAACCACATGGATCCTCCTCCCCATTTTGTATTTGTGTTTCCTTTCTCCTACAGTAAGATCCTTGACTCCCAATATCCACTTTTTCAAGTTGAATCCACACAATATTATTACAACGTTGTCACAACCATATGACTGAAAAATCTG